TTAATTTTTTACACTACATTGGATTTTAATTGATCGGGCGTTTCATCTTTTAAATTTGAAAATTAGGATCTACACTGGTTAATAGGGTAAAACGCTAACATTGTGTTTTTACAACCCTTTGTAATTTCAAAACATCTTTTAATTTTCTGGGACAGTCCCTGTATAAATGGAAATCGAAAATACACTTTATTTTCTTGGATTTCACTCAACTGTTTTGATTGCAAATTAGTTTTGTATTGATTACTCTGTTTATAAGACTCAATGGGTAGTTGTTAAGTTTTAAATTATGTTTTCTTCATTTGCTGTGTAGAATTCTGGGCTACTCAGATGGTAAGACCTGAATAGTAAATTTTTAATTGTACCTATTACTTGTTGCATTGGATGGTTTGAGAAATAGTTCAGAATCTTCCCTGAATTGGTGGGTTTGTTATACCAATTCGTTCTTAGTTTCCCATCATTTTCTCTTGTAACCATTTTTTATTAAAACCTATTATGTATTTTCAGCCATGAAAAGACGAAAAATAAACGTCGAAACGTCGGCAAATTAAGAAGTTAATGTTTCCTTTTGGCACGTCCTCTTCCCACTAACCTCACACTCACAAATATATTTAAAGGACGAAAACTTTTACTGAATTATTAATAAAATTTATTTTACGTATATTTGAGAATGTCTAAAATAATTTCTGTGAAATATAGATGATGTACTTGCATTTTTGCAGCTCTACAGCACTTGTGCACCAGCCGCCACTGACTCATAGTCTACACGAGGTGGAAACGTTGTGTTATCTCCGTGTAGGTGTTTCAGCAAGTGGAATCTCGTTAGTAATCCCTCCATGTTTTATACATGGTGTTAGTATAGTCAACGCTCTACTCCAGGGAGCTCTCGTTAATTGATGAATTTTGATATAGAAACATGGATCTTAAAAGGCTTATAGTTACCGAGATACAGGTTGTAAAAGTTTTAAATCAAAATTCAAAAACGCCTTTAAATATATTTTTCAAATTTGGTGACCAATGTGATCTTAAAGAATATAATATTTTGACATAAACTAACTTTATAAAAATTTAACCATTGGCGAGCTATCAAGGTTAGTGGCATTTTCCCCCTATTTTTTAAGCCATTGGAACAAACATTTTTTTTTAATTTTAATTATTTTTTTAAGGCGGCGTAAGCAAATGTATTAGCATAGGAGAATTTTTCAACATATAAGACGGGCTTCTAGACAATGAATTTATGCGGATTTGCTGTTATAATATTCTAATAGTATTGAACTAGTTCCTGAATATATTTTAAAGTGGAAAAAAATTGAGAGAATGAAGAAAATAACGAATTTGTGAAAATTTTACATGTAAAAAAGTCATCATAAATCGCTATAAAAACTATTTCAGGAACTAGAATATATTCCCATTAGAGGCTCCGCATAAGAAATATTTCATTTTTTGCTCTCATTTTCCAGTCTTATATGCACAAACATTTTTAATTTTAACCCAAAAAACGCAACCAACATTACATAAAACAGGTGTAATTCCTGTAATTTTAGGTTCAGGCAATCTTATATAGATGACGCCACCTGAAAATATCAAATTTATATCGAGCAACGTTGTCATATTGTTATGAAGTATCGGAAGCAAGGAAGTTCGTTATTTTATTACAAAAATTAGGTAAATTGTGTTAAGTCTGGTTTTGGAGAAACATTTAAAACGTGTAGAGATTTTGTAAAAGGTTTCATTTTTATATTACAAAATATAAGAACGTACTTTGTCAGATATTAAATATAATGTTGAGTTTTGTTTTTTCTGGCTGGATTTACGTGAAAATTGGAACAAGATGCATGTGAAAACATCGATCCTGGCCTTTCAAATGCATTTGTGGGTTCACAAATTAGTTGAGAAGAGTTAAAAGTAAGAGCAAACTTTTAAGCCAATTTATATTCTTAAAATCAACTGAAAAAGTACTTAAAATATTTATTGAAAATACAATAAATTTATCACACTGATTATTGAAGCATATTTTAAATTTTATTATTATTATTATTATTATTATTATTATTATTATTATTATTATCTCTCCTGTATTTTTGTTTACATTGTATGTTTTTTTACTTTCCTATCTGTATACAGATAAGGAAAGTATAGTAATCATGATTTTTTTCGACATCGATTTTTTGACGGATTTTTACATTTTGGGATCCCCTGAATCCTTTTTGACTATTTTCGCGATGCTGTCTGTGTGTGTGTCTGTATACTCGATAACTCATGAACGGATAAACAGAAAAATACCAAATTTTAAAATTAAGTCTTATTCCGGCCTGCGGTGAACTGATTAGATTTTGAGCACAGTTGGCACTTGGGGGTACTTTATAGGGGGTCATTTTTATATTTTATGGAATATATTTGTTATTTACGGTTGTAGAAGAAAATTCTTTGAATAAAAGTTAATTCAAATAATATTTTCTACAATTTTTGCTAAAATGGTTCGTATTCCAGAAATTTGACAAAATGTAAAAAATTCAAATTTTTATGAAAATTATTTATATAAAAGTTGTTTGTGATACAATTTTCTATAATTCTTATCTTATACATAATTTCTCTAAAGTGGACCGAATTCGAGATATTTGATAATTAGTGTAAATTTAGAATTTTGAAGAAAACTCGAAAGCGGATAAAGAAAAAACATTATTTGTTAAATTGAAGCGTTATTCCGACCTGTGGTGAATTGATTAGATTTTGGACAAAGTCGGAACATCTGGGGACGGGGTTACTTTATGGGAGGTGTTTTTATATTTTATTGAATATATCTGTTATTTATGTTTGGCGAAGAAAATTCTTTAAATAAAAGTTACTTTTAATATTATTCTCTATAATTCGAGAAATTTGATAAAAGGTGCAAATTCTGATTTTTAAGAAAATTGGTAAACTAAAAGTTGTTTGCAATATCGATCTCTATCATTTTTGTTTTTTACATTATTTCTCTAAAATGGACCGTAATAGAAAAACTGTAAATAGAAAAGTGTAAAATTAAATTTTTTCAGTGTTTTCATTTGCAGTGAATATATATCGAAAAATGTTTCGAGTTAGATGTATGTAAATGTATATATTTAGTTTATCCTTTAAACATTTACAGAGTTGCTGCAATAGGTTGTACAAAATAATCGGGAAAAGCCTGTAATAACTAGATAGGAAAGTCATGTGTTGGACACATCAGATTTTTTCGTAAACGGTTAATTTAAGGTCAATAAAATGAATTATTACTATTACTTATTATTGACCGTCGTCAAACATGTTTTGCTTACAACTGTCAACAGTATCAATCGCTTCACTGCTTTTTAAATCATGATGGATAAATAATGGAGCGAATAGATTATGCTTTTATCCTTAAGGCCTACTTAAGCATAAAAGCATAATCTATTTGCGCCACCACAAACAAGAACAAAATGAAATTTAATAAACAAACTCAGTTGATCAACTGCTGGGTAACGTGTAACTACCTATAAAAACACTAAAAAAACACAAAACAAAACAATGATAACTAACAAATAAGCTCAGACTGGATGAACAAAGAACTACTTAATAATATACGAACCAAAATAGATTCAAATGTTTATATTACATTGTCCTAAAAGTTTTATTCTGGTTCATAATAGTATATTATTAAACGAGCAATTTATGGTAGACATTATTCACGCAGGATGACGTTTGCGTCCCGAGCCGTAGGCGAGGAGCGCAAGTCACCCGAGTGAATAATGGCCATAAATTGCGAGTCTAATACTATACTTTGTCCACGACCATTATGGTTTCTTTATTAAATAAAGTTAAGTGTAAAATGGAAAGTTTTTATTAAACATAGATAACTAACTGTTGTTTTTTCCACTTTTCAATTTTCGATTTTCGATTTTCGATTTTTCGATTTTCGATTTTTCGATTTTTCGATTTTTCGATTTTCGATTTTCGATTTTTCGATTTTTCGATTTTTTGATTTTTCGATCTAGAAAATATCGTTATGAAAAGTATCGCCTATCTTTAGTTATCTACCGGAATGTGCCAGAATTACAAAAGCGTGAATTATCATAATTCACTCCGTGATATATGGGTACTATATGCTTTTAGTTAGGAGGTAGAATATTGATTTATTATTAAGTGGTCGTGGACAAAATTATTTAAATACTATTAAATATAGGTTCGATATTCTAATGTTATAGTGTTTGTCTCGTCCGGCGGTACAATAAAATGTTACGAGCACTTTAGATTTGGGAGGGAGGGGACGCTTGTCGCGTCGCCGGAAAGTAGTTTACACAACTTGGCAAACAGGCAGGTATAATTCAACATTTGAATTATTTCGCAGAAGTGCATCTAATCGCCATCTATTGACAACTTAGTTAATTTGTAGTTTTTGTTATGAATTTCCTGGCGTGCAAATTCCGTCTTAATTCTGTTTATATTTAGTTAAAAAAGTAGGAATATTTTATGGAGCTAAAATTAATAGTGTTGCAAAAATTTGCTTTTAAATAAAAGTCTGCATGTACTTAGTCAATTTGTCAAGACTCAATATTTCTAAATTCTAATCTAGTTAACACGTCAAATTTTAAATAGTACATGTATTTGACAAGATATTGGTAGATCAAATTAAAAAAAAAAATATTTAAAGACGCTTTTAATTTATGACAAATTTTAAATTTTTAACACCCTGTATCTCGGTAACTAAGCTCTTTAAAGGTTCATGGTTCTATGTTAAAATGTATCAATTAACGAGAGCTCTCTGTGGTAGGGCGTTGTCGGTCAAATATACTAACACCCTCTATCTGTAGCCTTACAGGCAGCCTCAGTAGCAATGCGGTCTTCTTAGCAGGATATTACTGATTCCGTGTATTCTTGTCTTTTAGCTAATCTATTCAATACATGTCAAACAAATGTTTTGCTTATTCCAAATACAATGACATGTTCAGGTCCTGAATTAGGTACTGCCTCTATTCAAAATGCTTGCACATTGTTTTTTATTACAGGACGGAGGAAGACAATGATTCGTTGATCACCACTCTTAAATCGTTAAAATGTTCAATTTGTACCAGCATTTTATCAGTAGCACCAATCATGACCATCAATGATGACGAATACCAATGTGGTAGATGTAAAACTATCAAACCCAATAACACAGCCATGCGAAACAAGATATTCGAAAAAGTAGCTCAACATCTTAATTTTCCCTGCATGAACAACAGTTGTACAGCAGTACTTCCTTGGAAAGACGTCGAAAACCACGAAAACGACTGCGTCCATACAACGATAGTGTGTCCGATTTTCCACGAAAATTGCGATGAAAAAATCACGTTGAAGGATCTGAAGAACCACATATTACAAAAGCACGGGAATAATATATTTTTCGATCAAATACAACTTACACTACCGATGTTTAAATCGTTTGTTTGTCTAGCAGTGGTGAGATCGATGGAGTTCTTAATCTATATCAGTAGTGATAAAGTACTGATTACTTCAATAAAACCTGCAGATGAAAAAATAACTTATACGTTGAAGTTGAACAGCACTTTGGAAAATCATACCAGTTTGGTATTCGATAATCAGTCAATACAGTTGTTCAATGAACGCAAACATTGTTTTAGATGTTTAGATAAACGATGCAATTTGAAGTATCATCCATTTTCTAGCGTATACGCCCCGGTAGTTGAAAAAAAGTCGGTAGAAAATGGCGCTGTGCGAAAAGACAAGTCAAACGCGCAGTCGCGTAGAAGAAACCCATTGAATGATATAAATTCACCGTTCTATGTACCGCCTAGAATAACTGGAAACACAGAATCTATTTTTGGAACTCCTACACAAGATAATTCAGTGACAATTACACCCCCAGCTCAACTTAAATTCTCCTCTATTTTTTCAAAAAATGTAAGTTCGGGATTGGGTTCTGCTGCGAATGACAACAATTTAGCGTTCTACGAGCCACCTACAACAACATCAAGCTCTAACAATACACCCCAATTGTTTGGAAACCTTACAACCCTAAAAACTCAAAACCCTTCAAAACCGAATGACTCCAATTTACAATCTACATCTAACGAAAATCATAACGACAAAGACAAACCGATTAAAGTCGCTGAAACCGAGGATCAAGTTAAGGGGCTCAAATGTACCACCTTTAATCTAGCTCACGTTCAGAATTTGATCGGTATGACGCCATCTATAGTATTCACCATAACGGTACCATTGACTGAAGAATGTCGACCGGAACCGATAGATTCGTACATTCCAAGAAACTTGCTCAGTACTATTGATAACACTGACGTACTGAGAAAGATTCTAGAGTGCCCGATCTGCAACGAGTTGATGCTGGATAAGATCTTCGTGTGCGAAAGAGGACATCAAATTTGCACCAAATGCAAGAACTCTTGTAATAATCGAGGCACGTGTCCGTCTTGTATGGGAGTGCTTGCCGATAATAGGAGTATCGCTTTGGAAGCTTTGGCGGAAGAGTGCAGCCTTTGTTGTAGTTACAAGGAGGATGGCTGCGAATTTCGCGGGAATCCCAAGAATGTTTCAAAGCACGAGAAGAGTTGCGAACTGCGCGAAGGAGAATGATGTAATATATTGAATATATTATTATTTTTTGTAAGTTCTTTGTTGTTTTGTATTTTGAATATTCTTTTTTAGATAATAAATAAATCATTACATATTTTTTTTAATTATGCTAGTCCAACTAATGTTAATGAAACTATACTTTATTTTTATTTACCCTTAAATGTGAATTAATACGCTGTATTAGTGTTACGTAATTTTTCGACATATAAGTTCAGTCACTATTAGCGCCGCTCTTATTTTGACATCTGAGTATGCGCAGATCGTTTACGTTCTAGAACTGACTTTATTAAAAATTGTGCTTGTCCCTAATTATGGATTTTTAAGGGTAGCAAATACTGGCAACTTTATAGCGTTCAGGTGCGTTCGCTGACAATCGTATCAGTTCGAAGTTTTTTAATATTAAATATTTAATGTTATCGTCATCTAAACCTTCTAAAATGGTAATTTCTAGTACCTCTTCCATATTATGTACTATTATAGACAACTAAAAAGATGTACTGTAATTTAAAATGAGGTTAAGAAATATTTATAAGGACAAGGATTCTAGTGTCAAAACTTCAGGTTTACGATAATTCTTATTTTAGCATAGAATGGACCCATACAGCACAAACACATTTCGGAAATATTTCAACAATGTTACATTGAAACATTTGCAATATAAATATTACGAAACATCCCAGAAACATTTCTAAAATATTCACAGTAATATTTCTGAAATGAAAATTTGAAATCTTTTAAAAATATTAAATAGTAATATTTCAAAAATGTATTCTAGAGTTTTTTTTCTAATATATTATTAGACTAAAAAAAGACATTTAAAAATATACATGTTTATTTAAAATACACAAAACTCAAACATTGATTCTCAAACAAATAAATATATGTTTTAAAGAATATTTCATAAAATATAGAAGCAAATTGCTTCTGTTATATTCTTGTAGTTCGAAGAACGTGAAATAAATTTCGATTTGTAATAATATAATGTTTATTGAAAACTAACTGACAATTAATTATTAATCAAAAATTACATCGATATGGCGATGAAGGTAAACAATATAAATTATTACGAAATATACATATCAACTTCATTTCCACCAATTCTTTTAAATGCACTAATTTGAAACAACTAGGTTTTTTTTAATAAATGCTCCAAGTAAAGAAACATTTACAATTATTATAATCTAATCATTATGATCAATTAGCAATTTTATTTTTACCTAACTTATCTAGTGATGAAAAACTTCATAAACTAAGATTCTACTCACTATATAGTGTACTTTAGAGTCTAATTATTTAGTTACGCTACCGTTAACGTATAACACATTGGCATTGTTGAGGAGCTGGATAATCTCAAGGTTTCCATGTTGGAGCAATCGTTGTTGTTGACTACTGGCAAATTTTTGTATTGTATTTTCAACAGTCTCCACTTTAAGTTCCCTATGAAGATCAGTATTACGGCAGTACCAGGATGCATCGACGATGTTCCTTAATACTTTATTCTGGAAACGTTGAATAACTGATGATACTTTTACTGGCACAGCCCCAAAGCTGGCAAATTGCTTCATTTCCACAAATTCCTTTAAATGCACTAATCTGAAACAAAATATAGGTAATTAAAAAGAATTTATACAAATTATTTGAATAACAATAGTTTTATTAATATTGTTTTAAATTAACTATAATAAAACAATACTCATGTCTAAACAAAACATGAAGATCCACCTAAGCAAGCATTATTTATGTAGTTCTCACCTTAATTTCTAAAGACATATTCTGCTTCCCATATAACAAGTTCACAACGCATGAATATCAAAAACCAACAACTCAAATCTAATTATTTAGAATCTAGGCTTGTCTCTAGCTGGTGGATGGACAGGAACATATGATGAAATAAAATAACTTCACATCCCATCTTCTTCTTACAAATCAGGGATTGCTTTTTACAACATAACCCGTTTAGTAACCTTTTGTGTAACATGTATCATGTTTCAGAAATATTTTTAGTGAAACATTTAACTAAAATATTTCAGAAATTTGTGCTTGAAATGTTATATGTTTGAAATATTTCTGAAATAATGTGTGCTGTATGGGTATGGATGTTTAAGGACATCATATAGTGGCGACTTTATAGTTTTCGGATGCACTCGCCGACATTCGTATCAATTCGAAGTTTTTAAATATTAATTATATAATATCATTGTCATCTAAACCTTCTAAAATGATAATTTCTAATGTCTCTTCCATATTATGTAATATTACCTATAAACAAACAAAAAAGATGAACCGTAATTTGAAATTTTTAAAATAAGATTAGAAATATGAATAAGAACAGGAATTGTTATTTCAAAATTTCAGGTTTGCAATAAGTCTCATTTTAGAATGACATTTATTTGCCTTTAATTATGTTGTCACTATTAGTGGTGACGTTATAGAAATTTTCAATATCTCTCTACAATTAAATTAATGAAGCATACCTAGTACTTTATAAAGGCAAAAAACTGTAAAATTTGAACTTGACAGATGACAGTTAAATATTTAAGCTAAACCCTTCGATCCACCGATCTTGTTCAGAGCTTTGACCATGTATTGACGAGCCCCCGTAAAAATAATGTGTTTTAAGGCTTTATGATATAAAATAACAGTAAACAAATAGGTATCAAAGATGAAATAAATTGAGTTTTATGCACCGTGATTTTGTGTACATACATGGGAGCGAACAAGTCTGGGGCTAAGGTATTTTTTTGAAACGATTGAATGTACAATAATTATGATATTGTAGGGTGTTGATGTATTACATTATTATTGTTTTATTTTTCAAATCCTACACATACATGGTAGCGAAAAAGTCCTATTCATCACTCTACAATAATTTTATAATTATACATTCATTCGTTTCAAATAAAATACCTTGTCAGACTTTTTTGCTACCCAGATTAAGGTTCAAAATTCAGTAGTAATGTTGGTTGCCTAGGTAAATTTCTTCTGCTAAAAGTATTTAATAATGTGTACTTTTAAGTATTTAATAATGTGTACTTTTGCGTTAGATAAAGCGACCAAATGAACTATTCCAGTGAAAAATAATTACCGCTAGAGAAAATATCAGAAGATAATTAAGAAAAACAACCACCTTTCCGTTACAGCGTTAAAAATTTTATAATTAGAGAGTAAGGTCAAAGGATAAGTGAAAAATTTGAAATAATGGCATTAAATTGAATAACACTCTTGAATCAACATAATATCCTTTCGTCGTTTTTTAAATCCTGCGATAATGGAAATTTAAATTGCTTCCATTAAAAGATCAGAGAATTTAACTCGATGTAAAACGACTAGAAAATGCAACTGATTTAAACGCTGCTTTGTCAAATTCATTTGGACACCTTTCGTATTAACTAGGTAGGTATTTCAGTATACTCGTATTTATAGGTAAAACATTAAAATTTAGACAACACCGCCATCCTTTTTTAATCCACATTGTTATGTAAATTAAATATTCCAAAATTCGTCTTGCTTCACCTACTTTTGGACCACTCTGTATTTTTTAATCAATTTTGTGGTAAAAATCCTAATAAATAACATGAGTTATATCACCCATACTAATGGACAATATATAAAATATACGATTTTGCATAGTTAGCATTTTAGAATAGTTTGTTTATATAAAAGTAGTTTAATCATTAATAAGTAAGTTCCTAGTTAGCATTCAAAGCATTAACATCTAAAATTATTGTATTTTAAGTAAAATAAAACTTTTTTAAAAAATAATTTTCGGTTCGAGATTTCATTTCTCATGGTTTAAATTACCCCAAGATGTGGACTTAACGGTAGGCAACCAACTATACAGAATTGCGTGTCATGTTGCATATTTATATTTCTAGAGGACTGCCTTTTAAAAAATAATTTTAGAATGTAAATTCTATTGATCTTTTAGAAAACGTAAGCTCCTTTCAAGAGTACTATCAGCATCACTATAAAAAAATATATAATAGGTATGACAAATGGACTTTACACGCACACGCGTTGTTTTTATGGTTTTTATTCATTGTTGAGAAAACGATTTTATAGTTAGCTATTTTGACTTTAACTCCGTATAGAGAAGAACCAGGGAGTTTGCTTTTCTGAGTTCCTGCTTCCTGTAATGGATGTTGGGAAGTTTGCGAAATTAACGTCATTAATGATCGTAATCCTAAAATGCCAACTGTTAATTTGTTAGGCTGAATTGTTTGCCAACACCCAACACCTCTGTATACGGAAATGTAGTAAATTCAACGTTGGTTGTGTATTTACGAAATAGTGTTAGCAAGTTTCCTAGCTAGAAACACGGCAAGGTGAAAAGGGTTACCAAAATTAGGGTAGTTGAATCACTGTAAAAAGGCAAGTCGTGAATAGCTTTGATTTTGTGGTCAAATAGTCACTATGTCGCACATCCGGTGCAACAACGTCGTAAATGTAAAAATAATTTTTTTATGGGAGAGCCATTTGAAAATTTTGTTCGTCATAAACTGAAAGGTATTAAAAGTCAAATATTATTTGCACAGTAGTCTGTGAAGAGTATTTATTATGCATATTCGCTTCACGTCCGATGTCACGTTTTTTGTCCACATGATAAGTCAAAAACGAAAAACGATATCAATTTGAAGATTTCAGGAAAAATCGAGCTATATAAAAGGTCAAAGCCTATTGAATTTAAAAAAATCTGATTAAAAACGGGGGGTTAAGGGGGGTAGAAATAGTAAAAAAAGTCATAAATCAAAAATGAAAAGCTATATCAATATGAAATTTTTAGCAAAAATCAAGCTCTACAAGGCAATGAAGCTTATTGATTCTATAAAAAAAAATATGAATTAAAATGAGGGGTTGAGATGGGTTGACAGATTAAAAAAAGTCATAAATCAAAAATGAAAAGCGATAAACATGAAATTTTGAGCAAAAATCAAGCTCTACAAGGAAATAAAGCCTATTGATTCTGAAAAAAAAAAAAAAATTTACTAAAAATGGGGGTT